TTTGCAGAGCAATTTCCCCCAATATAATGTACTTTAGTGTGTTATTTTCACCAAGATGCACAGTTTATATACACATTACTTGGCTGGAGAACCATATCGCAAAATTTAGAGAAGTGTGAATTTTGAAGGACGGCTGTGTTTCAGTTCGGGTGCTGCTTTCGCGAAACACAAACAAGGCAGGTTTCAATGTGAATTGGATTGAATTTCTCCCCCATCACTATTGGGGATTCAGAATTGGCTCCCTAGGTCCACAGGCTTTCAGTCAGCTTCCTCCTACTCTTCCTCCTGCTGCTGCTGCCTGAATAAAATTAATACTAGAGACACTCACACAAACCACCTGTTCCGTGTCAAAATTAATATACCCCTGATTCCTCTGTTTGCTTTTTTTGGAGCGACAGACAGCTCATCAGTCTGCACTCCACTCTGCCCATCAGATTAATGCTAATACATTGCAGGAGGAAAGCTTCAACAGCCTGTCTTTTAAACCTACATCTCCTGAAGATATTTTTTAAAAATGAAAATTAAAGTTTAGGAGGAGGTTGGGTATACCAGTATTATTTTTTCTTTATTCTTAACTTACACCTCTACATTTGCACCCAGAGAGGCTTACAAGAAATACATAAAGCAAAAACCAATATGGCCATCATAAAGTGCAATGCACAAGTTATAATGAATTTAATGGATACGGCAATTATTTAGCGCTTCAGAAGAGCGTGGCTGCTGGATGACCCATCTGCTGGATTCCCAATGACCCATCTAGCCCAGCATCCTGTTCTTATACTGGCCAACCAGATGCCCATTGAAGGAAGCTCAAAGCAGAATCTAGTGCAACAGCCCTTTCTGTTGTAAGCCAGGACTTGCTTTGGATAAAATGGCCCCTCAAAACATTGTACAGTTCTTCCTTCTTTTTTCTGTGTCACAATTTTAAATTCCCAGAAGGACTGATAGTTAAACCACTCTGGGAACTGCAACTTTGTGAGGGGAACAGAGGTCTCCTAACAACTCTTAGCGTCCTTAACAAACTACAGTTCCTAGAATTCTTTGGGGAAAGTCAAGGCTGTCTAAATCAGATAGTACTACTTTAGATAGTAGGGGGGGGTCATCACAGCTAAAAAATCCCTGGCAGATGACCACCCAATCTCTGTTTAAAAACCTCCAATGGAGGAGAGTCTACCACCTTTTGAAGGAGTCTCGTCCACTGTCAAACACCTCTGACCATCAGAAAGGTATCCTTAATGTTTAGTCAGAATCTTCTTCCTTGTCACTTGAATCCATTGATTTGGGTCCTACACTTTGGGAGAGCTCCAATTGCTATCATATTGAATACAGGTAAAGCTCTGGGTGTGTTTTTTAATAATAATAATAATAATAATAATAATAATAATAATAATAATAATATCTCACAGAAAAGATGGGAGGGGGAGTATTTTCCTGATGCTGCAAGGACATGAATGTAGGTAGCTGGTAGGACTGAGCAATGTCTGGTTTTCAACATCATGATATATCACCATATATCACCAACATCATAATATACCAACATATACCAATATGTAACTATGTCCTGGCAACTGCTACTACTTAGGCATCTATAACTGAAACATTTTTACTTACCTTTAGCATATTGTTACAACTGCTATTTCACAATACAGAGCAACAGGGGCAGCAGAAATCAAAAGAAAAGTGATGACCGGCTTGGTGGTTTTTCCCATATCGCAATTTTTTACATAGCACACACACACACACATTGTGATTTGCAATATATCACCATGTCAAATATTATGAAACCGTTATCACAATGTGGACTTCAAAACAATTTTGGATGATGTACTGATCTATCACCCAGCCCTAGTACCAGGTGATCCCAAAAAAACAACAAGTGACCACTAACAAACTGGTTCCACTTTAGAAGCAAGGTCAGGTAATTTAAGCCCCCAGAATTAGAATGGAGGTGAATTTTGGAAGCATTGCTAAAGGGGTTGGCCTGATGCTTGGCTCAGCTGCATTCTCCATGTTGCAAATCCCAAAGCTTTTAAGAAAACACTCTCAAGCGTATTACCACCCTAAGCCCTTTGGCTTGAGAGGCACATTCAGGAAGGCTTTGATATGAAAAGCCCCCAGTAAAGGGTGAAGGCCTCCGTGCTAAAGGAGACTTGCATGCAGTCTGGGAAGATTAAACAGGACCTTAAGAGCTTTAGCGGGGATCAAAAAGCAAAGTGCTGAAACACATACCAATAATGACAGAGGCTTTTCTCTCTTTAAAGATCACCAAATACTTTATCAACCCTTGGACAGATTTGCAAAAGAACTTGGATGCCCCTAATTGGCACTGGAGTTTCCAAGTGATGAGCTCTTCCATGGGCTCCCTCTGTGGCAGGGATAGGGAGACTTTTTCAGACTAAGGACCACAGTTCCTTTGGGGCACCCTTCCAAGGGCCATATGCCAGAGGCAAAAGTAGGCAGAACAATGAATGTGAATTTCACCACTGCACCATAGGCTAGTTTCCACACACACTTGCACACACCTCTTTGTCTTCCATCAATCAAGAGGCATTATCAGAGTTAAAGGCAGGATGGTGAAACCAATTTTTCTGGATCACATACAGAATAGGGCTGATTTGTCAGGTCAGGTCAAGGCAACTGAAAATCACTATAGGGAGGGTCAAGTAAACCTGAATGAATTTGTGCTGGTTTGGAAATACAAAGCAGTCTCTCTAAAAACAGGCGGACTGTCTCCAAATAACAACACCATATAAGGAGAATACCAGAGTGAGGAGAGGGGTGGAGGGGACCTGGACTTTGCTCATTGAGAGCCATAGCTTTCAATTCAGGGGTAGAATCTCACCCCGTATGCACAAATCACAGTGCTTGGAGAAGGGGAGGGATGGTTAAGTCCTAAAATGCAGCAAGCTCACACTGCCTTCACTCTTTTGTAAGTTCTGTCTCTTAAAAAGTTTGGTGGCATTCATTCAGTATGTGTGAATTCAGAAGTAGTTTCTCATTAAAATGCAACCCGCTAAAAAAAATCTTCCCCAACCCTACTCCTGCCTGCTAAATTTCCCACACATCCCTGAACATTGACTTGGGTCTGGAAATGAATTAGAAACAAGTCCTGTGCAGTATGATACGGTCTAAAAAGTATACATCAGAAAGTCATCTGGCTACCACATTTTCTCAGCAGCTACAGTTTCTGACCACATTTCAAGGGCATCCACACATAGAGGGACACCTGGAACAGGCACAGGATGCCAGATAGGGATGTGCTACTGATTTCCATAAAAGCATTATGATACCGACAATTATTATCTGTCCCTTTCCTTAATCATCCCTTCCACTGACTTGGCCTTTCTCCGCAGCTTCTGCTGTGGTGCCAAGTTGATGTTTTCAGAGAGCCAGCCAAGAATCTCAGAAGTGCAGGGGAGAGCCAACAGAAGATGCACAGCAAAGCACCTTGCCTCTTGTAATTAATTAATTCCTTCACTACAATCTCTCTGCTCCAAATAAAACATTTCTGATTTGTGGGCTGTAGAAGCAAGTTGCAAACAATGTCTTTGGCAAGGTTTCATTTTATTTCCCATAGATAATGCTTTGCTACTGGAGCAGGGAGCAGGAACAGAGAGCTACCCAAGCTGCCATGATCGTTTGCTGTTTGATTTAACATCTCTTTTCAAAGGAGGACACTCTCCCTTAATCTCTGTGCCACTGGTCTCCAGCAGAACAGATGGAAGAGCTCCACCCTCAAGCTGCTCTGGATACGTGGAGTGTGGCATCTCTGGAGGACAATCTACAGTCCCCGGGCTTTTAGAACAAACTTCATGAGAGGATGACATATAGGGAGGCTAAGTTGGAAGGTTGGCAGGTGAGTGAGGAAATAGGACAGGTAGCCTGAAAGCAGCTCTTGGCACACCTGTCTGGACCTGTGTGTCCCACCGTCCCCCAGAACAGCAGCTCTGAGGCTTGGGTTCCCCATTGGCTGGTGAGGCAGAGAAGTGAGAGGCACATTTTGAGGCAAAACTGCAGGAACCATAGGAGCTCTGTCCAGCCAGGTCACTAGAACAGGAGCAGTTGGTGGGACAAGATAGGGAAGGTGAGGTTTTACTGCTTACCTAGCTTCTCAGCACTGGTAGGGTCATTGCCATTGAGAGGCAGTTGTGGCAGAGAGGTTAATGTGGGCAGTGCAGTGGAGCCAATCAAAAGCCTTCTGCCTGTGCCTGCACCATGCTGGTCTCCCTTCTGAGGAGCCAGCAGCACTGTGTATGCCAGGTGGGAAGGTTCAGGGGTCAGGTTAGAGAGCCAGGTAAGCTACAGAGCTAGAAACTAGAGACAAGGAGCCAGTTAGAAGAGATGAGGCAGTAGCAGCATCTGGAACCAAACTGAAAAATTACATAGCTGGCCCTGCTGAACCACATTTTGTTGGCCCATCAGTGGAATCCCTCACCCAAACTAACCCTGGAATGAAATCACACACACACACACACACACACACACACACTTCTCAGAACTATTTGCATTTTAGCAGAACTGGAAGGGAAATGTTGCTTCTCCTTGAAATTAAGTAGTGGAGTGGGAATGGGAAAAAAGCCCATGTGATTAAGCTTGACTGGGAGATGTTTCTAAAACACCATCCCTGCTCCAGCTTGGGCAGAGGTCATTGGTCTGCACAAAAGTCAGTGCAAGCAGACATCAGAATCAGAGACTGATGGCCATCATTCATAAAGGAGGTTTTCCAGAGCAATTTACAGCACTTTTAAGAGCCTTGTTGGCTACGCCACCAATCAAAGATCCATACCAGGTGGCTTATTGAAAAGAGAAGACATACACATTAAAACTGCAATGAAAACCAATGACAGATCAAAACATATTCAAGTCGTGGGACATAAGACATAGGAAGCTCCGTTATGCCAAGTCAGACCCTTGATCCATCTCACTTGGCATTGTCTACTCTGACTGGTGGTGGCTCTCTGGGGTTTTCAGGCGGGGGATATATTCCCAACCCACCCTGGAGATGCCACTGGAGATTGAACCTGGCACCTTCTGCATGCAAAGCACATGCTCTACCCACTGAGCTATAACCTTTCCCCATCAATCACGGTTCAAACCAGAATTGTGCTAAAAGCTTCATTCTTGCTGTTCCTTTCCTCTTTTTTCAGCCCTCTGTTGGGTGTGAAATGAAATCCTCAAAATTCAGGGAGGGGTGGAGAGAAATTTCTCTAACATGGTTTGGAAGCTCCTGCTTACCTTTCCTTAATCCTCACCAAGGTTTTTTCAGGAGTTGGGTAATATTTTTTGGGGGGGAAGGGGTGATTGAAGTTCAGCCCTCCCTCAACAAATTGGGCAGGGGGAGGGGGAAGCTGTCTGAATTACAACAGTCAGAATGATGATCCTGAGCGAATTTTGCTGTGATGGCTAATATTTGGCTTGCTTGATGTGACTGGCTGCCATTACAAAAGCACCAGTCCCCCCCTTAGGGAGACCTCAAAGCTTGCAAAGTCAATTATAATTGATGTGTATGTTCCATTTTCCTTTCTGATCCTGTCTAGCAGACATTGCCCTTGACAAGTCCTCCAAAGGAGAGAGTTTGCTTGATGTTGTTGTTTTAAGACTGGGTGCTTGTTTGTCAAGCCCTGGGATTCTCTATTAAAACCAGGACCAACACTTTACCATTGGGTAAAGTGAGGCAACTGACAAAAAAGACAGGTGCTGTGGGGGAGGGGAGGGAGTAGGTACAACTCCCTGGCTATTCTGCCCAAGCCACCAGGATTTCCGCCTCTGTTCAATGACAGAGCTGTGTATGCAACACACAGCTCCAAACCTAGGGGGTGAACGTAGGCGTGTGTCCTGGGTGGCAGGATAGGGGGAGGGGGCTTCCAAACCGTATCCGGCTCTTATCTTGGATGACATGGTGTAGGAGAAGAGATGAGGAAGGTGTGAGAGAGTGAGAAAGGCGAGATGCTGCAGGGGACAGCTGCTGCCAACCCAAGGGACACCACAGCTCTGAGGAGGAAGAGGAGGAGGAGGAGGAAATAGCAGCAGCATAGGTGGCTTCTCCACAAATGCAGACTTTTTGCCCCCTAGAGCAGACTTTGTAGATCCTCTGACACTGGCTGCAGTGCTTTTTGGTCGAAACTATGCCTCAGCAGATGACCCTATCCTGTCACCTGGGCTGAAAGTGAGATTCAGCTGCCAGTCCAGTCTGTACAGGTAACTCACATCTTACACCTACTTACAAAATTGCACGGGGCATGGGGGAATACATAAATAAATGGAGAATAAACCCACTCTCCATTTATTTATTTCCTCCCACCTGCACAAAGCTGCAATCAGAAGCTTACCTGGCTTTGGGAAGGTAGTGTGAGGGCTGTGACAGGGTCCTAGAGCCCTCCCACCTCCTTGCTAAAGCTCTGCAAGTGCTTACTAGGCTTTGGGAAGGATGTAGGGAGACTCTAGGACCCTGCCACAGCCCTCATGCTATGGGATGGCATGGGAGGGCTTTGGGAAACTGCCAGAGCCCTTGTGCTGCCTCCACAAAGCCAGGTAGGCAACCCTGCAGCTTGCGAGGCGGTGGCAGTTCTGGGGTTCTTGGCTTTATGCAGTTTTGTGTATATGCATGGACCCCACCAGAACAGAAACCCTTGCATAAGATGCTAGTCACCTGTACATGAAATGTGGATGGGGTGCTTTCTTGCCCAAAAAAGTCTTCAGCTGGAATCAATCTGTTTAACCCACTTCAAGGAACGTGATCATTAACGATGCCCAGGGAGGAGGTTTGATGTGGTCATCAAAATGAAGAGTTTTCAGTTGTAAAAAGAAGTGGAATCTCTCATTGGAATAAGATCCATCTCATTTGTGTTTTTACTGAAGGCCTGCCTAGGAGACATGTGAATTTCTTAGAGATGTTCCAGGATAGTGATGATTAGGAGATCTGAGGACAGTGATTCATTGGATTCATTCAGATGCTTTCAGCAAAGAGCTATACATGTTCCCGCTTTTAAAGGAAAGAATGCATTGATGTATGAAAGCATAAGAAGAACCCTATTGGAATAGGCCACTGGACCATCTTGGTCCAACCAGATGCCCATGGGAAGCTCACAAACAGAATCTGCACACAACAGCACTCACTCTATTTGTTATTCCCTACTGGCCTTGAGTAGATCAATTCACTTCTCCTCTACCAGCCTTTTAGTTCTCCTTTTCCAACTTTTTATTACTCTAGGACAGGGTTTCCCAAACTTGGTCTCCAGCTGTTGTTTGACTACGACTCCCATCATCCCTGACCACTGGTCCTGCCAGCTAGGGATGGTGGGAGTTGTAGTCCAGCAACAGCTGAAGACCCAAGTTTGGGAAACCCTGCTCTAGGAGGTCGCCAAGTATGCTCAGTGTTCATGGTGTTGTTTTCTGGGGAGCTGTCCCCTTCTTATGCTTTTTAGTAACATTATGTGTTTCTGCATGCCTTGGGGTTCCATGCTCACTGCAAGCAGGCGGATGCCTCCCTCTTGCTTCGCTGTGGCCCCATTTTAACACAAATCTTCATAGCACTCTGCACTTAAGCTCACTACTGGAGGGAATAGTGTCATGCACAACTTACCGTTTCACACATGGGAGCTGGTGAGGTTTCTTCTGACTAACAGGTTGCAGTACAATTATTCATGTCCCACGATATTGTTAACCCAAGTGCAAACACCCTCTTGGCTTTGAATCATTGGGGGCTGCTGCTGTACAAACCAATTCAGCAAGCAGAATGGAGCCTTCAGCAATGTGTAAAACAGGAGGGATGCTAAGTATTAGGGGTGTTGCAGATGCGTCCCTATTTTTATCTGCGAGATGTTGGAAGCTGTACAAGCGAACCCCAGGGATTCCAAAGGCGTTCAAATAAAATCCTTTACAACCTCTCCAGAGAAAACTGTTTTGACTTGCCTCTGGAAGGTGATGCCAATTTTCCAGGCCATTTTATGCATCTGAGGAAATGGAGCCTGGACGGGGAGAACGCTTTTATGACGATCCATTCATTAGGACACACCATTCCGAGAGGTCCTCCTGACAAAGCCCCCACAGAAATGGACGTGGGCTGTGGAAGACCCCGATGAAACAGCCAGGAGGAGACAGCTTTACCCCCACAAAAAGGAGCAGAAATTTCCAACTGGACAGCAAAATCTGTGCCATTATGGCACAGCAGGAAGGGCGATAAGAAAGATGGATTTGCCCATTTGCTGCCAGTCTTCTTTTTTTAAGAAAAAAAAATGCAATACAAATAGCCCTGCTCCGTGACCCTTCCCAATTTCCCTGTGATAGTTCTCAGAACGATAAAGCAGATCCACCAGTATACCTCCCCGGGGGCCATGACTCATATCTCGGACTTCAAATGGCTTGACCTGGTCCCGCTTTATGTATGCTAATGACAAGCCTCTGGGTCCCCTATTCCAGGTCCTCATATTTTATCCTTCCTGTTACACACACACACACTTCATGAGCCAGGTTCCTCGCCATAGCTCATTAACCTGCTGAGATGTAATGGCAACAATGCCAGCCCCACGAAAATGCTGAATAGGAAGAGCCATGTGGCCCAACACAATATTTTATTGGCCATTTAACTAGGAGGCTTAAAATCCTCACAGGCTCCTGAGCCAAAGAGCGTAATGGGCCCTAGAAAATGAATGTGTGCGCCTTAATAGTTTGAGGGCCGAATGAGGAGGGGAAAGGAGGGGCGGAGAGTGGAAGGGTGGCTGAACAGAAAAGGCCCAGAATAAAAATACCATAGACGATCATAGAACTTTAGAGTTGGCAAGGGATTCCCAAGGGTCATCTAGTCCAACCTTGCTACAATGCAAGGAATCACAGCTAAAAAAATCCCTGATAGCTGCTATATGTTTTCATCTGATTTTAGTTTATTGCTCATTTTCTCTTTTGAATGTTTTAAAGGGTTGGGTGTTGTAGTTTTTACTGTTTTTTACTGATAATTTTATTGCCTCTCCCTCTTTGTAAACCACTTTTAGTTTTTGGTTTTGCTTTTTTGGTTTTTACAATCAAGCCATGTATAAATTTCATGAAATAAATAATTACCAGGCAATATTAAGCCATAAATCCAATCCAATGCCCTGTGGGGTCCTCCAGGTTTGGGCTATGGATAAGCTTGCTAGAACCAATAATACCCTAAGCACCTCCTTTGTCATAATGGCTTTATTTGTCCCCTCAAAAACAAAACAAAAACAAAAAGCAGAAGCATTTGAGGAGTTAAGTCTACATGTTCCCAGATGATGTGTGATATTTCTGAATGTGTTGTCTCCCAATAATCCTGGATCAGGATCACATGTTAACCTGTGACCGCATCCCTGTCAACAAGTAAGTGCCCATCCATATGGGGTTAACTGCACAGGTGTGCTATGCCACCTACAGATTATCTTGATAGAATTTCCCCAAATATATGCTAGCACGCCAGATTTACAAAACACCTTATCACCAGCGTCGCTGCAAATTTGCATGCCACAATTATACATTTCTGCTTTGAGCTTTTTCCCTTGGGTATCTCAGACTCTTCCGGCCAACTGAAAATAGTGACTTTAACCCAACAATATACTTTGTAAGAACAGCACAGAAAAGGAATAGAAAGAGGCAACAGCGACTGTGCATAAGAATGAACGTGATTTCTAACTAGGCTTCTGGCACAGGAGGAAAGGGGAGTATTTTGGTATTTCTTGTTATAATCAGTTTCTGTTTTGTGACCTTATACAATATGTATATCATTGAAAAAGCAATGAAAATGTAAGGAAGAATAAAGCTTCCCTTTCCCGGGGAAGGGCTGTAGCTTGTCTTGGGTTCAATTCCCGGTGGCATTTCCAGGTAGGGCTTGGAGAGATTCCTACTTGAAACCCTGGAGAGCTGCTGCCAGTCAGTGCAGGCAGTTACTAAGCTAGATGGACCAGGGGCCTGATTCACTATAAGGCAGCTTCCTATGTTCCTATGTACCAATAATGGACTGTTAGCAGTTGTCTCTATTTTCATCTGTGAAGAATACCAAATGCTTAAAGGGAACCTTTCTTTACCTGTCTCTCTACATGATACCTGAGCCCACCATGCCTG